AGAACCCCTCACCCTCCTCTTCCCTGTCCTCAGTGGCTGCAGCTAGACCTGCACTTTCACGAACTTGGAGGCGCTTTTCACGCTTCTCTAGTTCCAAGAAGAACTCCTTCAGACGGCTCGGGCTGCTGTTCTCACGCATGGGCAGCCACCTTCCACAGCCTGCAGGTGTTACTGCTGCAACCTACACTATCTCAGATGGATTGCTTCAACCGCCGGGGGCTTGGCATGACTTGGGCTTCACAAGGGGTGATGGTCCCGTCACCCGCAGCGAGACCAACCTTAATCAGGTGGATGTGGCTGTTTTAAATGAGGGCGACAATGCCATGACAACAAATGGACAGAGAGCTAATGGGAGGGATGTTTTACTGACATTAGGACCTCTGTCCCCACCCTCTTCCCTGCACTGTGCTTCCAGTTTCTCCGCCTCCAGCTCCCGCCTCCTGGACTCAAATGAGGACGTGTTCCAGGCATTGGTCGGTCCCTGTGGCGGACAAACGCCAGACTCCTCCCACTGGGTAACGGAGCAGGACGATTCGGTTACCACGCAGCTATAGTATTGCGAGTATGTACTGTACAGCACTTTGATAATAACAATAATCAGTGATGATATCAATAACTATTACCTTAACCACAACCAATTCTTCTGTTTGTTCTTTTGTTTGCTGCTGCAATATTTGTTTCAATATTTCTTTCTGGGATTTAACCAAATCGAAGGTCATTTACAAGACAGATGAGATGAGTAAATGAAATGATGAACGACAAGAGATGCAGAAGGGACAGAAAAGTGCCATAGTCAGCAGAGCAGACAAACGCAAACCAGGTTGAATTTTTGTGTCTTCATTACATCACATCATTAAAAGGATAGTTCACACAAAAATGAAAAGTTGAATCAGTTACTCCCCTTCATGTCGTTCTAAACCTGTATGATTTCTTTTTCCTTCTACAGAAGATATTTTGAAGACAAAAACAGTTTGTTATCAATGACTTCTATAGACCATTTTCCCAGATTGTGATGATGTGTTTCCACAGTTATTAACATCATACATCTAGCAGCATTTTTTTTAATTTTCATTTTCATATTCATTTTACATTTATAACACTGTGTTTTCTTACCCTGGCACTGAATTACATAAAACTAGCAAACACTGCTGCGTGAGTGCTTCTAATACAACAGCTGAGGGAGTGATGGCAAATCTGACATTTCTCTTTATTCTGACCAACGTAATCAGTCTCTCAATATGTTTTACTCTTTTGGAAAGTCATTGAATCACTATTGTGGATTTTTCTTTTACTATTGCTGCAAATGGAAATGCAAAAATTATATTTATTGTAGTTTCCATTCACCACTATAGAAGTTTACCCAACTATGACAATTTCCACTTCTAAGAACCCCAGAAATGTGAAAATGACAAAGACATATCTCAAAATATCTTCTTTTATGTTCCACAGAACACAGTAAGTCATACAGATTTGGAACGACATGAGGGTGAGTAAAAGTTCATTTTTGGGTGAACTATCCATAAATAATATCAAATTTGACTTTTTATTTTCTTAATACATATTCCAGTCATCATTGTGTATGATTAAAGGGGTCATATGATGCAATTTAAATTTTTCCTTTCTCTTTGGAGTGTTACAAGCTCTTGGTGCATAAAGAAGATCTGTAAAGTTGCAAAGACTAAAGTCTCAAATCCAAAGAGATATTCTTTATAAAAGTTAAGAGTCAACCACACCTACCTAAAACGGCTCGTTCTAACACGCCCCCACATGTCTACGTCACTATCTGGGAAGATTTGCATAACACCGCCCAAATGTTCACGCAAAGAAAGAAGGCGTAACTTTTATTTTCGCTGAAGTATTGTTGCCGCCGCCGCCATGTTGTGGAGACACTGTGTTTCGTTGTGAAAGCGAAACTACTTTGTTTGGCCTTCCAAAAGAGGACGATATCGCTTCATCATGCCTAGAGCTGATCCGTGCTGGTCGCTGAGGAAATACTTCAACTTCGCGCTGTGGATCGCCGGATCGGCTTTCACCGTGGACGAAGCGGAGTTCAGCCCGGGGTCATCACATGTGGTTGCCGCTGGCACCACAATATGGGAAGTGACGTTACATTTCCGTCACACGCTTGAGGAATTCGGCCAATCACAACGCACTGGATAGCTGGCCAATCAGAGCACATCTCGCTTTTTCAGACTGTTTCAGAAAGGCAGGGCATAGAGGAGAAACAATAATGTACAGTATGTGGAAAATTAGTTTTTTTAACCTTAAACTGCGTAAACACATTTCATTACACCAAATACACAAAATAATGTTCTTTTTAGCAGCATCCTATGACCCTTTAATCAACGCATGTTAGTCCAAAGATAAAATTGTTTGTCTTCATCAAATACTTGATCAGTGTCTAAAACAACTTTTCTTTTTGATTTGAAATTAAGTAGTCTGTGCAGGCTGTTAATATTAATTATCCATTTCAACATTTTATTATTGAATTGTTAGTGCAGTAATTGAATGCTGGTTAAAATTCATTTTAAAAAGGTTACAACAATAATAGCAAATAATTGATATATTTGAATAGTGTTACTACTTGGATGCTATTGGGGAAGGTAAACTTGACCTTCATGGATAAAACCAAGTCCCATCCCACTTTATTTATTACATTTATTTATTTTTACAATGAATAGATTAAACAAATATATTAGTAAAATAGTTTATGTTGATTTTAACCCTAAACCACAGCAGTCAACCAATTCATGCCATTCAATTCAAAACTCAACTCTATCACCAACTTCTCATTGGCAAGTGTACATCAGCAAGAAACATCTCATATGGAGATGTGTATGTTTAAGGATATCATCCTCTTGGTGGAAAAGGATTTTTTTTTTTCCTTAGTGGAAAAAAATATTTTTTCTTTATCAGTGAGCGGTTGGCATTCATGCGGTGAAGGTTTTTCACTTTAGTGCTATGATATGTGCACATCATAGTGTGATATTACTCTTGTTATGCACCCGGAGGGCTGAAGTTATGCTAGAATCTAACATGACTGAAATCTTATTTTTGTATTTCAAATAGCATGTACAAATGATTTAATTTCAAGACTGTTTTAGTCTAGACAGACATTATTTATACATTATACTATTATAATGTTTTGGAGCTGTTTTTTTTTTTCTTTGACTGCTTACTTTTTACTGTATGTGAATATTAATTAGCATATTATAATCAGGTATGGGGGAGATGTCCAGGGACATGCATCGAATAAGACATCCCCCTGCTCTGCGATGATGAATGCTGACAAACCATGTACAGCGCCTTGGAAAAATATTCAGACATTTTACCAACTCTGATATTTTATTCTATTGTAAATATGACATTGAACTTGTAATTAGAAATTATTTTAATTTTACATTGTGCCGGAAAATATAAATAAAAAGTGGTGAAGGGGCACAAATAATCTAAAAATTAGCATAGATAATCAGTTTGAAAATATATAATGATGTGGCATTTATATAAAAAAAAGTTCAATAAAATATTAATGTCTTAATGGCACTGGGTTAACATTTTTGAGTGTTGCTATCAGCTGCAAAAGGTTTCAAGATATTACTATGCAGGGACTGAACGCAACAAAACAATGTCACATTTTAGGAAATTTGTTTCAGTGCTTTCAAATGAAACCACACAAAGGACACAATTGCAATGTAGGACTGTGTAATCCAGTAACATGACAGAATTGGTCAAGGCCTGATTACTTTTGGCAAGGTGCTGTAAATGCTTATGTAAACACTTGAATGAAATACATGCTCCTCTTGTATGATTCTTACCACTTTCTACTTTTCCTTGGAAATGTGTGAACATACGATGAAGATAAAAAAAGTAGTTCTGACAGCCAGAAACTGAACTCAAGGGAATGCCGAATATGCAGATTCAATAAAGCTGAATAACCCTGGTGATGTCTTTGATTTCTTGCCATTTCCCGACAAGATATAAATGTGGATTTGTGCTCTACTCTTTCCTGGCCGCATCCTAAGATGTACAGTAAATTGAGTAAGGCCAGATTTTTGGCAGTAATAAAAAAAGTACTTTAAAATACCATACAATGCCATTATCATCATACAATAGTTGTCAAACTTTTACTTTGATACCTTGCACTTTGATATATTGCATGGTACAAATGATCCATGTGGTATATATATATATACTGTATATTAGAATGATTTTTGAGCTGCCTATAAATTAGTTTGTTTGGGTAAAATCAGATAAAAGCGGTGCATTTGCATTGCATTTCAATGACATTCCTTATTAAAATGCATATGAGTGTACAAGTGTATAAACATTTTTATGCATGTAAAATTGTTGTCCTTTAATGTAGGACAGTGGCCTTCAGCTTTCACTTTGGGCTCAGGATTTTACATTGGACATGAAGTGGCGATTCAACACGACAGAAAAATTGTTCATCTTAGAAAAGTAAATAAATACGTCCTTAGATCTAAAATATCTTATTAGTACAAATGTATTAGATTTACCACGACGGAATAAAAATAAAATGCCTCTGCAAATCAGTGGGACACTTGTGAATAAAATATTGCTGAGGGTCTTTGGCAGGCTAAGATTAGCCAACACTGCTAGTAATGGGTAAACATGACATACTAATTTATGAGTGCAATTTTAAAGTCCTGGTCCTGGACCAGATCTAATTATGTGGAGTGTAATGCCCTCTGGTGGTTGCGTCGTCAACACTTTCTTTGGTATATTTTATTTATTTACGTCATATCAACACGAAAATGGGTTCTGGAACCTGATCTGCATAAGAGGAATTTCTACAATGTTCAAGAAAACGTACCTTTCCATATTTATTTAAAATGCACTGTTAAAAATACATCAAACCACCCTGTCATAAACATCTCAAACTGCATGATGTCCCAGACCCCGCCCACGTTTCTCATTGGCTCGCTCTTTCCACATCGGCGTCTGTGATTGGTCCACTCCGCGCAGCGTCTGCGCCAACCTGCCACAGCGGAAGTGAAAGCTTCAGAAGAAATAGTGGCTAGATATTAGATAAATAAACATGGTCGGTGTTTTCGTATTGCACATTGTAAAAATGTCCTACTAACAAAATGAATGTTTTTATGTGCGTTGTGTTGTTTCTCGTAAGTGCCACAGCTGCAAGCAAAAGCGGAGACGATGAATGGGTGCATCTGCCAAATAAATGTGAAGGTAACGTTAGACTGTTCTAATTTATAGTGAATCAATATTTTGTTTTAAATTCATCATGATCGCTTATTTTCAGTGCTTGATCAAATCATCTAATGCAATCGCAGACACATATTTTACACAATATAATAGGCCTGAGCAGCAGGTTTCCTCTTTTAAACCGACCTCACTGGATGTGTCTCCAAACCTAGTGTGCTGCCTACGTAGGCTGCATGTTTGGAATGTTTGAATTGGCCTGTAATGACAAACAATGCTGTCTATGTAGGCAGCACACTAGGTTTTGAGGCACAGCTGCTTTCTGTTCCTCTTCTGATGCTGAATATGTTCTGTATGTTTTTATAGTGTGCAAATTTCTTAGTATTGAGATGAAGTCTGCATTTGAAGAGACTGGCAAAACAAAAGAAGTGATTGAAACCAACTACCACTTCCTGGATGATAAAGGTGCACCGCCAATCAAATATGTCAAATCGTAAGTCACTTTTTATTCTCAATGCAAACCCTGACCTTAAAAATGAAAATTCTGTCATTATATACGCACCCACAAGTTGTTTCAAACCTGTAAGAGTTTCTTTCTTCTGTTGAACACAAATGAAGATATTTTGAAGAATGTTAATTTAACAGCTGATGGTAGCCATTGACTTCCTTTTTTTTTTTTCACTCCATACTATGGAAGTCAATGGCTACCATCATTTATTTGGTTACCAGCATTCATCAACTGATTCTGGTCTTGAAATGACGTAAACTTGTGCATACTGTTTTTGGATGCAGTCTGACTTATACATTTTATTGAGCAATGTCTTTTGCTTTTCAGTGATATTCGTTTCATAGAGGTGATGGAGAACGTTTGCTCAAGGATTATGCAGTACAATCTACACAAAGAGAGAGTCGGAAGTAATCGCTTTGCAAAGGTTGGATACAACTTTTCCTTCTCTTCTACACCCTTTATGTTTAAGTTTGAATTATTTTATTGCATACTGCATTATAACTTCTCTTTCTCTTTCTCTGTTCAGGGTATGTCTGAGACATTCTCTACCTTACATAACCTGGTTAATAAAGGTGTGAAGGTGGTCATGGACATTCCCTATGAGCTGTGGAACGAGACCAGTGCAGAAGTGGCTGATCTCAAAAAACAGGTGTGTGTGAGTGACCGAGAGATCTTAGAATTAGGGTTATTAGTGGGTTAAGTTTTGCCATTAATGTCATTCATTTAGAATTTGCTGAAATGTAACCATAGATACACTATTGTTAAAAAGTTTGGGGTCGTTAGGATTTGTTTTTAAAGAAAATAATACTTTTATTTTTCAAGGATGCATTAAATTGATCAAAAGTGACAGTAAAGACATTTATAATATTACAGAATATTTCTATTTCAAATAAATGCTGTTCCTTTTAACGTTCTATGCATCAAAGAATCTTGAAAAACGAAATATTAAAAAAAAATATTTAGCAGGACAACTGTTTTTAACATTGATAATAATGAGACATTTTTCGTGAAAAGTAAATCAGCATATTAATGCAATTTCTGAAGGATCATGTGACACTGAGGACTGGAATAGTGGCTAATGAGAATTCAGCTTTATTACAGAAATGAATAACAAATTAAAATAGAAAGCAGTTCATTTAAATTGCAATAATATTTCACTGTATTACTGTTTCTACTCTATTTTTGATCAAATAAATGCAGTCTCGGTGGGCATAAAAAAAATCCCTGCCTAAATATATATTATTAATGTTTATATAAAGTTTTAACAATATTGTTTCAAACCAGTATGTTATTTGTGTGTGTGTGTGTATGTGTGTGTGTGTGTTTGTGTGTGTGTATATAAAGTAAAAAAAATCTTTGATTATTTTTTCTTTTTTGAGCTATACCTTTGCCAGCCTTAACATAAATGTTAGTGCAGTATATGTACAGGTAAATGGGAAATATGTGTGTTTTCTTCCCCTCAGTGTGATGTGATGGTAGAGCAGTATGAAGAAGTCATTGAAGACTGGTATAAAGGCAGCCAGGAGGAAGATCTCACCACTTACCTGTGTGAAAAACATGTGCTGAAAGGACAAGACACCGGTAATGTGAAACTAACAGCTGTTTTACTCAATCACAACCCCTTTTATATCAGTTAAACCGCTCTAGACATAATATTATGACTACTTAAAGACTAAACCTCTTGATCTCTTTTATTGGCTCCAGATTTAAGAGCTGTTGTTTCTAGGAAGAATTCACAGACAACTACTCAAGGCCACAGGAGCAGTAATAGTAAAGGACATACTTTAATGTGTAGAGCAGAGCAAAAAAAAAAAAAAACACGCATATATATATATATATTTTTTTTTTAAGGAATTAATGCTTTTATTTAGTAAACATACATAAAATTGCACACACAAAAAAGCAAAGAAAAATGTTTTGTGAGCACCAAGTCAACATATTAGAATGATTTCTGAAAGATCATCTGACACTGAAGACTGGTTATATTCAGCTTTGTCATCACAAGAATAAATTACATTGTAAAATATATTCAACGATATACAGTGGGTACGGAAAGTATTCAGACCCCCTTAAATTTTTCTCTCTTTGTTATATTGCAGCCATTTGCTAAAATCACTGAAGTTAATTTTTTTTCATCATTAATGTACACACAGCACCCCATATGTACATTGAGGAAAAAAAATTAACTTAAATGATTTTAGCAAATGGCTGCAATACAACAAAGAGTGAAAAATGTAAGGGGGTCTGAATACTTTCCGTACCCACTGTATATATATATATATATATAAATAAAATAATTCACATATCTATGTTAAATAAAAACAGTACAACATTGTAAACATATTTGTCAAATTACTATTTGTGAAGTACTATCCAGAAGTAATGAATCCAGTAATGAAATACCAGTTGGTCATGGTGTAAAGGAGCAAATACAAATTATTAGCAGTCTGCCTTCATATCACCAGCTTGTTGCTTTCTGTTATAAAAGATTAATTTGGCATTGTACTGGCTCTTATGCCATTGCTATAGCAACTAATATAGATCTGCCAGAAAAAGACATCACTTCCCGAACATGCAGCTGTGATTTGATCTCTTGTTGCTAATAACAGTGAGGACAGTCAGTATAAAGATCAGGATCGTGCAAAACATCTACCTCTGATTCTCTCTGCAGACTGTCTTAAAGAGAAATGGAGTGGGAAAAAGGGAGACGCAGCTGCTATCGCAGAGGACAAGAAGAAAAAGAAGGGCAAAAAGAAAAAGGGCAAAGACAGCGAGGATGAGCAGAAAAAGGAGAAAAAGGTAAAGAAGAAGAAAAAGTCCAAGCTGACTGACACGGAGACCAGCAAACGGAAAACTGAAGAAGCTGGATACACCTCAGATGAGGAGGAGATCCAGAAGAAAGTTACTCTTAATCAGGATAAAACTGAACTCTGATAGATTTCTTTCCTTTCAATATTTTTTTTTCCTTTATCTAAATTTACTACTGATACCGAAATGAACATTGCATTTTAGTCTATTAGAAGAAGGTAACGCTGAGGTCCTCATTCTAGATCAGATTGAACACGTCACTTGAATGTTAACATTAACTCCATCCAGGAACAAGCTAAAAACAAATGCCATTTCAAATCCAAAAATGGCAGCTAGACCAGTCAAATCAGAGCTTGGATTCAAATGTTTGCTTGTGTTTGTTCTCATGCTAGTTGTTGGCATGCTGTTGGAATGGATTCTGGAAATCCTTCTTATGGTTCTCATTTCTATTCCTCTGACTCATCTCGCTGATTTCCCCCCCCCCCCCCCCCCCCCAAAAAAAAACGACCATTAAGCAGGATGCAGACACTAAAAAGTCTTTTTAAAGTTGTCCTATGCTTACTGTTACTTTTAATTGCCTTTAATTTCATAGTATAGATCACTCATGGATTCCAATAAGGAAATACATACTTTGAGCTATTTTCAGTATTAATATAATTATGCGGTACAAATGAGATTTTTACCCGTTTCTGTATAGGATCATATTTTATGTGGTCCAACAAATGCAAATTGTGTTTTGTGTTTCAACATATGCATAAAATGTGAATTTTTTTAAGCTCGAATATTCTGAACTTGGCATCTTGTAAAGTCTCTAAATTTCCCACATCTCTCATTTCAGTAAAGCAGATAATGGGAGAAACCCTGAGAAAGTAGTTTGCCATTCCAAGAAGTTGGGACCTTTTCATTCTTTCTGTTATCCAAATATGGGTGTACCATTTTTGCTTGATCTGTTCATTTTTTATTTTTTTGCATTTGTAGTGTTTGTGTATGTGATGTCACGTATAGGGAATGTTTGAGTTACTTAAGGTGCTTGTTTACTTAAACTGTTTATCTGATAACAGGCGTCACTATTTCCAAAAGGTGTGTGTGTGTGCTCTTGCAGGTGTTTGTATGCATATTCAGATTAGTGTTGTTAGGAGTGCAGTGTGGAGTGTTTGTGAAAGTTATTGGCCTGAGATTGAGCTGTATATGCAAATGTTGTAATGGGAGGAACGTGTGCAGGTTTTGTGTTTCTTGGCAGCAGCTCATTGGCTGAGGCTTTTGATAAGCGTTTGGTGAAGTGTAGATGAATGATGAATAAAAAAAGAAAACTGACAACTGTTTGGCTGATTTAAAAAAAAAAATTTTTTTGCAAAACAGTCAGAGGGAAATGTGTTTTAACAGTAGTTTTGCAGCCTTAAACACAAGGGGTGGTAATGAGAACAAATCCTTGCTTGTTGAGAGATTCGAGAAGTTTTGAGTGTGGGCCAATCTGTGGCTACGACGGACTAACGATGATTTCTAGGTAATTTGTTGCAACTGAGAACAGTAGCCATATATATTGTTTTAAAATGATCTCAAATTAGTTTATTTTAAGATACAGACATATTTTGATAACTGTTTCCTATTTATTAATTTGTCTTCGTTTCAACAGAAAGAAAAGAAAACCATTAGAAACGGAACTATTTGAAATCCAGTAACATTTCTTTCTTCTTTTCTTAGAATAAATGTGGATAAACGACTTGCCACCAGTCTATCAAAGCTCTTCAGGCTGATGTAAATAAACAGTGTGTTATGAGGAAGCTTCAGCGTTGCTCTGTCTGTCACGAGGCCTGTTTATCAGTAAGTGTCCCTGCTGCAGTGCAGAAGGCCTAGTCTGCATTTCCACTTCTCAATGTCACATTCCTCTTCTGTTATGTTTGGGCAATCTGTATTATTTGCCCTTCAGTATTGGAGCAAATGGCTATTCGCTTGCACAAACACATCTCAATTAATAATTCACAAAAACAAACATCTTGCACCCAGGCTAAAACCTTTTCATTTTTGTTATCAGTAGGGCTGGGAGTAAGGCTTCCTTTGGCAGATTTTGAATTTGATTGTTCTCTAATCTCTGAGAACAAAAATGCAGCCTGAAATTGAAATATTGATCTTTTACATTGCAATCACCTGTTATATTACACCAGAGACAGTATGTGTGAGCAAGAATATGAATATCTTTTCTCTGGGCCTTGTTGTTTATTTATATTATTTTCCTCAGTCTTTGGCCATGTCTGGCTGTTAAGATATCATTTATATGACCCTGCATGGTTTCCCCCCGGATATGGTGCCCAAATAACCACATAATAATTCATCTGTGTGTGTCTTTACCACATTTCTGAAGAATCATGTGACTGAAGACTGGAGTAATGATGCTGAAAACTCAGCTTTTCCATTACAGGCATAAATTACTTTTTTTAAATATATTAAAATAGAAAAGTTATTTGAAACTGTCATAATATTTCACAATATTACAGTTACTGTATTTTAAATCAAGTGTATGCAGCCATGATGAGACTACATTCGAAAATATTTTAAAAATCTTAGCGACCCAAAACTTTTGAACAGTATTGTAGGACTATAAATAAATATATAAATTAGTTTTTCCTTGTATCATCTGAAACATTCTCAATCTTCTACACAGTGCAAGTCAAAAGAGTAAAACGCTGGCCAGTTTAGATGAGGAAAAACATCCTCGGTCATCTTTAGATGTCAAGAGAAAAGTTGTTCATGAGTTCAATGCCTTCATCACGATTTAATCATTTCCTTTCACAGCCTTTCCATCCAGTCGTGCCCTAATATGGGTAATCTAATTAAACATACATTTTTTCATGTCTTATTTAAGTGCTTTCTTCACAACGTGCGTCTTTATTTGAAGACTGTGGTGCATGAAATGGGTCTATAACTCAGCTTCTTCAAATCACGTTTAAAAAATATCTGGGCAGCCTTTTTATAAGTAACAAAATAAACTCATGTTTCTGTTGTTGGTAAATCCGTCAATCAGTGCCTATGTCTATCTATAGTCATAGTTGCACCACCCTGAGAAAACAGCAGCCACCCTCAATGCATCCTGGGAATAATCTTACATATCAGGCTCATTTCTGTTGATCTCACTTAAGGGAATTGAAAAAGACCCCACAGCCCATCATTTTAAAGAAAATATTGAAAAACATTTCTGTATTGTTTTGCTGCTATACACTGTAAAAAAAATTGTTTTAAGTTGGTTAGAGTGTTTTACAAGAAAATAGTAATTAGTTTTCTACTTCCAAATTTCACATTTAATTCAATGTGTTATATGCAGATTCATTGTAATTATTAGTGAAAATTACTAGCCATATCTGAGTGAAAATTGGTTCAAAGCCATGTTTTTCAAGGCATTGGATCATGTTCATGATTCTTGGTTTCATTTTTTTTCTTCCAGTCTGCTTAGTTAATGGTCACACAATATCCTCTATGCAGTTCCTTTAACGCAGAGACTCAAGAGACTAATATATTTTCAAGTATGCTGAAATTAACTGAATGCACAAACAAATGCAACAGTCAAGTTTACAGTGCTGATATATTTCTCACAAAACAATCATAGGAAAACAGATGCCTTTTCTGTATCCTAAACACGTGTTTATCTTCCGCTCCTATCTTTTGCTAGCTGTAGTTTTGAAACCACACTTTTCCCACGTTCCCAAATGGCCATTTCCCATTTTTTCAAGTAAATTGTTTTCAAATCTATTTATGGTCCCCACAGATTTATGGTCTCGGGTGATATTTCTAAAGTATGCGCAAGAAAAATATTACAAATCTATGTTACAGTACTGTACTTTGTCATGATATCCTTGTTTGGAAAAGACAAGGTGTTCAGCTGGAGCTGTTGGGAGTGTTGTTTTAGCCTAGAAATATCACGTGTATGGGACGATACTTAGCTTGTGTCTGGTCATGAGAAGACCGCAAACTGAATGTTAATGGGGACTTTGATATTTGTCAATATGTAGCAACGAAGGCATTTAAGCACTAATGGGGTCTCATTTGCATGACCTGAATCAATAGGATTTTGTTTGATGGCTTTTGCTTCATCAGGAATGCTATTGACGACAAGGTGACACCTTTGACATGAGCAATGCTTTGTTTATTTGTGTTGTCAGTTCGTTCTGGCGCACAAAATGGTGACAGACATCGATCTAGACCTTTCAAGACATCATTTAGCATTCGAATGCCTATAGGATGGATGCCTCATCCTGACAACACCATCAGGGAATTCTGTTCTGCGGGAAGTCTGTTTTCCTCTTTAAGTAACTCACAGACTAAATAAAGACTCGTGTGTTGGGGAAAATGCCAAATGCATAAGAAAATATCCTCTGCTGTCTTAGTGTCTAGTTTTAGCTTCTGCTAAAATGGTTAGTGAATCAAATCCCTGTAAATGCTTGGGAACATGAAACCACATCTACAGTATCCACAGGTTTCGATAAACCAAAGATCTCCTTAAAATATGATGGGCGAAACTTTCATCTGTTGAAACATTTGAATGAGTGAGGTGGTGGTAATACTGTATTTCTCATTCTGAGAGATTCAAACACATTCAGTAGCTTTCCCTTCTGACTCAAAGCCAATAAAATAACGTAAGAAAACTACCACACATAGTTGCTCAAACTGAAGAAAAGGTGAACATTTTAAACAGTATTAAGAAACTAAATTGGCCTACAAAGAGAGATAAATGGCTTGAAGAACCAGAAGATGGACATATAAGAGAAAAGCAACAAAATATAACATTCCACACTCTTCAGAGTCTTTCAGCAAGAATGAAACAAGCCAGATGCATCTCTTTTCCTCCTTTTTTACATTTTTCTCAGCCTGTCCTGAGGGCATTAAACTGAAGGTCACTGTCCTGAAGGCATAATGTCAGAAGAGCTGAAACGGAATTATGTAGAGAAAACAACATTTGTGGAATCTGGAATGTTGTGAGGATGAGAATTAGATTGGATGGAGAATTCGATTGGGTCAAAGAGAAGATCTGCTCCAATGTAGCTCATTGCATAAAGTCCTCTCTTCAATTGAACTGCATTCGAGAAGTTGACTGTTTTTGTGTGTATTGTGGAGAACATCCTTGTCGACCTCCTCTTAGTACATTATTGGATTGTTTGTGTATGTTCTGCTTTCTGTAAGAAACAAAAACAAGAGGAAAGTTTAAGAACACTAAACCACAGGTTTAATTTGTAATTTGTAAATTATTCATTATTTTAAACTAAATTAATACTTTTATTAAGGATGCATTAAATTGAACAAAAGTGACAGTAAAGACAATTTAATTTATTTAAAATAAATCTTTATTTTCATCAAAGAATCCTGAAAAAAAAGTTTCCACATATTATATTCCACAAATTACTAAAGAGTAGAGTAACAGCTGCTGAAAATTCAGATTTGCCATCACAGGAAATAGTTACATTTTAAAATGTATTAAAATAGAAAACAATAATCATAATATTTCACAATTTTACTGTATTTTTAATCAAATAAATGCAACCTTGGTGAGCTTAAGGGACTTGTTTCAAAAACATAAACAAAAAAGTTTACAGACCCCAAACTTTTGAACGGTAGTGTAACAAAAAACTAAAATTAACTCATGGTTATTTTTAGTACGTTTGGAGTTATGAAAATGTACTTTTATTAAAGTTAATGAAAATTTGGGCCTAATGTTTGATCACCATGTTTAAAAACTCTACATAATTAAAATATGAGAACTAAAAAAAAGAATAATTATTTACTATTAAAATATATATAATTTCAAATGTCTCTTTTCTCTAAAAAATAAAATTTTTGCACATCATGTGAAAAAGACATTAGACTAAACGAACACCTCGTCCGGTCCAGTGCTGTGCCAATGTATAGCAGATTTTCTCGACATTAGGGAGCCATTTTAATCAAATTAACACAAGGTGTAATTCAAGTAATTTATCATGTAGCTTTAGCTGTCTCACGGAGGGGGAGAGTGCGAGAAAGGCCAGCTGCAGAAACAGATAAATGGGTGGAAGGGCAGCGCTGGAATATTCATGCGGGGAGCCTTTGCTTACACTGGAAACTTGCAATTAGTCCCCAGTCTTTTGATTCATCTATGTGTTTATTTGCTAATGGTTTCACTCTGAGACAGAGGGAGCTGATGATCTCATCTGTTTGGAGGACACGGGCGAGTGACATGGTGTTGCTGAGAAAGACTGATGGGAAGGGGAAGTGAGGTCAAGACAGCAAATCTGAATAAGCCACAGCTGAAACTGTGCACATAAATACACACCGTATACATGAGCGTATTGATAAGCAAGTGTTTTGTACAATAATTTGTTTATTTATTTTTACAAAAAAGATTAATACTTTTATTCAGCAAAGATGCATTCAATACAAATCCCTGTAACACTTGTGGTGATTGCATAATGACCGGGGCACAATAGCTTATAAATGTCTTGTTATACAATATTATCACTGAATACTGGTATCAAAAACTTTTGTACTGTGTGTGTGTGCATATATATATATATATATATGCTGTTCTTTCACTGTTTATATATAATTGTGTGTTTTAATATTAGCATTTAATATATGTATTTCTATGAAAAGGGGCCATTTCATCTAAGTTTCTGTTAAATTCAATACCTTGTAACAAGCAGTTGTCCTCCGGGCTTCTGCATTGCTCCGTCTCCATGTCCAGACTCATTGGATCTGTGTTAACAGACAGTGACAGCTGACAAAGCCTGCTGAAAGACTATCGGCCTGAATGAAACTCTCTGAGTGTGTGTGAGGGTGTCTCACCGTGTATGAGAGAGTCTGATGTGGTGGCCTGCTGTAGTGCCTGCTCGATCTGCCCTCTCCGCTTGGACTCATATTCCAGTGCCTCCTGTAACCTCCTCTTTGCCTTCTTCTCCTTCTTCAGACGTCTCTGAATGGTGGCTGGATGAGAAAAGATGAGGGAAAAGTTCCATGTGTAAACATCAACTGGAAATGGATGGTTGCTTTTTATTTAAATTTTCCAATATATGTATTACAATGCAACATTTTACCTCGACTGTGTAGCTCAGAGGTGAGCTGCCTCTCTAGACACTCTCTCATCTCTCTCTCTCTGTACAGCTCCATCTTGAGCTCTCTCCGCTCCTGCTGAAGCTGTTTCTCCTGCACACGGGCGTTCTCTAAAGCCACCTTTAGCAGACCCTGCAACACATGTCTATGTTATTGATGCTGAACATGTTTGTATGAGTGAGTGAGTGAGTGAGTGAGCGAGCGAGAGAGAGCAATGCAGAAGTCCGGAGGACAACTGCTTGTTACAAGTGTGTGTGTGTGTGTGTGTGTACCTGTTTTTCTATTCTGGTGGGGACTTAAACCTGAATATACACACAGACTCATGGGGACTCATGTCACGGTGGGGACCTAAATTGAGGTCCCCACGTGTAAACAGGCCAATAAATCACACAGAACTACGTTTTTTGAAAAATCTAAAAATGCAGAAAGTTTCCTGTAAGGGGTAGGTTTAGGGGTAGGGTTGGTGTAGGGCAATAGAATATACGGTCTGTACAGTAGAAAAAGCATTATGCCTATGGAGAGTCCCCACAAGGATAGCAAACCAGACGTGTGTGTGTGTGTATTCCTTCATGGCCATACCTGGACATTAGTGAGCAGCATCTCGACAGAGGAGAGGCCATCTGTGAAAAGAAGGGAAGCAGGGAAGCCAGAGGACAATGATTGAGTTGGGACCTTCTCAAAGATTGTTGGTATCGGTGCATTTTGTTCAACTGTAAAATAATAAACACAAAGGGATGAATTCAACTGATCAGCTGACTGTTAAAGCAATAGTTTAGCTATAAATTTAAATTGTCATCATTTATGCAGTTTCAAATTATAGTTAACAAAAACTAAAACCATAAAAAAATTACTTGAAATAATATAAACGTTAAAAAAATATTGCAGCTAGCTAGCAAGGCAACATTTCTCATTTTGATTGAATTGATGTACTATAATAATTTAAACAAAAACTGAAATAAAAAGTATCTAAACATATTTGAAAAAACGAATAAATGTCAAAAAACAAGAAAATTATAAAACTTTAACTAAAATTAAAATGAACAAAGAAAATATTACAATAAACTAATTCAAAATATTTATAAGAACTATACTAGTCACAATGATACTAAAATAGCCCAAGCCTAAGATAAGCAAGGTAAGATTTTCAGCAAATAAGAACTTTTTTTTTTCTTTTTGAAGAATGTGCAGAATATATAGTTGCTGAATTTTCTGCAGTCGTTATCTCCAATCTTCAGTGTCTTCAGAATCAGAAAGTTAAAAAAACAGCATTTATTTGACATTTTTTGTTGCATGTCTGTGGATAATGCTTTTTATACATTTGCTAGTAGCGGATGAAGCAAAGCACGAGCATATTATTTTAATTGTTTTGATATTACTTGTGTATAGAACCTAGAATATCCCATTACAACATACAGTATACCATTACATCACCCAACTAAAGGCAATATAGTGGCTCTGTGTAATAATTGAACTATAATGAGAGCAGAAGAGGTCAGAGGAGAGGCTTTTACGTAATGTTGTGTTATATTAAATTAAATTTTTTATGAAATTTCGTTTATGTTGAGGAAACTCACCCCTGTCGTTGGAAAGTCTGCTCATATGCAGAGTTGAGTCTGTCTCCCTTTGTTCATCATGAACATTGTATGCTACAGGGAGAGCAAGAGATATATAAAGACAGCAGATAAATGAAACAAGAAGTTTCTGAGTAGCACACACTATTGCCAACATATTGCTTTGTGCTGTTATTGTGTATGCAGCAGAGTCAAGCCTTGTTGATTAGTTTAACATCTTTTTTCCTCAATGTAAATCATATAATGTTGTTTTCTATGGACATTATACTGTATGTATGATATTATGAAACAACAGTAATATCACACTTCAAGATGAAGATGCTAACCACAATAACTGGGTCTCTGTAAATCCACTAACATTCAGAAACTACATTTTTTACATATGTATGTACAGTGGGTATATAGAAAAGTATCCCCCTCCCGCCCTCCAAATAATCACATTTTGTTGCTTTGCAGCCCGAAATGAAGACGGACACAGTTTTTGTTTTATCCTGCTGTATTTACTCCGTGTAACTCATAACATCCAAGTGAAAGATATAACACCAACATGTCAGAAGAAAAAAAAAACAATCACTGAGTTGGAAAAATGATCACCAATGTATTGTAATATGTAATATGTCAATGTAATGCATCCTTGCTGAATACAAGTATTAATTTCTTTAAAAATATATACTTACACCAAACTTTTAAATGGTAGTGTATATCCATTTGTGGTATTCACTCAGGAAATACTGATGCACTGTTTGATTAATTATGATAACTGTAATCAATTACTCAGCATATCATCCCATTAATTTGACTGACAGCCCTACTGAATATGTAAACTCACTTGTTTTTTGAGGAGAGAGTGTGTAAGGCTGTGTGGGGCTGCTGGGAAGTGAACTGGTTTGTTGAGGTGAGGGTTCAGTTTTCTGAGGAACAGTCCCATCTACAGATGGTGTCACAGAGGGACTCTCTTCAAAACACTCCTGCTGAAATGAAAAAGAGGAAATTCAGTCCTGTAAAGAATCACACAAACACACATGCATAAACTCTCCCCACATAACAACACATTTTCATCACCCCAGTTCACCTGAAATCCAACAGAGTTCTGACTTTTTGTCTTACAATTCTGAGTTCATATCTCACAATTCTGACTTTTTTTGTGAAGAACTGCGAGATACGAACTCAGAATTGCAAGATATAAACTCGCAATTCTGAAAAATAAAAAAAATTCAGAATTGTGAGGAAACAAGTTGCAATTTCAAAATGAAAATTTGAATTCTGAGGGAAAAAGTCAGAATTGTGAGATCTAAACTTAGCTGTGAGATAAAAAGTAACAATTGTGTTTTAACCATTTTTTTTCCATAACGTGGCAGAAACAAGCTTCCATACTAAACTGGGATTTGCAACATGGTTAACAACCTAAAACAGGTCTCAAGCTACTTAACTTTTGATTACCTAAAGCAGTTTAGACCCCTTTGGACCAAGTGGATCAGCAAATTGCCTAAATAAACTCAAGCTAGAACTGTGTGAACATTCCCTGATAACCTTGCAGCAAAAGAGCTTGTAGAGTGTGTGTTTTAGTGTATGGTGTGTACAGTATGTCCTACCTTGATGGCAGATGTCGGCCTGGAGACGGGGCTGTACACCTGTGCACTGGCAACCATGTTGGCAATTGTATTAAGGTGGTTCATCTGGTTCATTGCCATGGCAACAGAGGCAGGAGGAAGTCCAACAGGAAGCAGGGGATGGGGCATCATCATGAAGGGCAGGTCCAGTCCTACAAGAAGAAGAAAGAATCAGTGAATAACTACTTAAATTTAGGTGTGTTTATCACACAGATCTATTGTATGGCTTCAGATTAGATTTTAAATTTAGTCATATGGACTACTTTTACGATGCTTTCGCATCATTTTTGAAGCATGAATGCTCTGGTCCCCATTAATCATCACGATAATTGAAAACAGAAAGTCATACAGGTCTGAAACAACAAGGGTGAGAATACTGACAGAATATTCGATTTATGTTGAATTATCCCTGTATCAGGGATCAGGGTGTGAAAGTGAATGGTTAATACATACTGTTGGCCAGTAGATGGGTGTGTTGGAGAGAGTTGAGCTGAGAGTTGTTCAAGCTGTGCTGAGTTTTCTCTGAAGCAGGTGATGGATGTTTCTCTCTCTCCCAGGACAAAGCGCTACATACTGTTTAATCATAAAAGAGTATGAAATGGTGAAAAGAAATATTCACAATAAAGGTAATCAGGTAATTACATTTTAGCTTTTGTTATATTACATATCTATCTATGTGTGTGTGTGTGTGTGTGTGCATGTGTTTTTGTGACAAATGAGGACATAAATTTGTATAATGACAAGGGTATGACAAAGGTATTACAAGGAGAAGGTGACTTTTCAGGACATTACCCCATGTCCCCACTTTTCAAAACGCTTATAAAACACACAGAATGGAGTGTATTGAAAATCTGAAATAGCACAAAGTTTCCTGTAAGGGGTAGGTTTTAGGGGTAGGGTTGGTGTAGGGCAATAGCACATACAGTTTGTACAGTATAAAAACCATTACGCCTATGGGATGTCCCCACTTTTCACAAAAACAAACCTGTGTGTGTGTGTGTGTGTGTCAAAAATAAATAAGACTGGAGTTTGTTAAAAGTAATATCCATTGCTTTAGGTTTGCTTTAAGTGCACATTTAACCACATACTGTACACATTCACACACAAATATGCTCAGAATAATTAACTTAAAAAGATATCCCCAAAATAAGTGATCAGAATACTATAAGATGGACATATATTATTTTTAGTGAAAAAAGGAAACAGTACATTTTCCAGCGACCAGCAGCAACAATGAACTGAACTGATAATCAGCATTCATGTCAGTGCCATTGGGAGCAGATGGTGTTTAGGTGGCAGATTTGTGGCGAAGGAATCAATGATAGCGCAGGATGAAGTCGGTCCCCTTAAGACTATCACATGCTCCAACCAATAAGGTCTTCACACGACCGGACAAAAATAACATGATTAAAAATAATAAGCTCCCTCATTACGACACAACACTATACTGCAGATACATTACAACACCACGGCAACTTCGAAACCTGGGCCCTTCACCATGGCATAAATTCTATACAATAGAGCGACCATCTGTGCGACAATCTGCACGTCCATGGAAATCAAGACTAGTGTCAACACAAGCTCACATATCTTGTGGGACTGGAGTTCTAATGTAAGTGAGAGGGCGCTAATTCAGAGTAATCAGACAGATGAAGATGGATGAGAGGAGGGAAAGCAAGAGCAATCAGAGACAACAAGAGCTGCAACTGTGCTGCGAAACACACTAAAACAAACACAAACATGCACACGTACACACGGTATATTCTCCTGTGTCAAGTACTCAAATAGAAACGGCGTTCAGCTTTTGGTCGGATGTCTAGAACACTGTGTACTTGTAATGTCATACAGATCATTTTCATCAAGTGATTGATGAAATAATCCCATTGAGTTACATTAAAAGAAGACCTGCGCCATATTTAGAATAGAGTATAATTAATTTATGAGTGGTCTTTTGACTTGAGCTAGTAAGCAATCACTGCCTTTTAATTTTCTTTTTTTTTTCCAATTTACTGCCATTTTCAGCTGAAATGACCCCTAGTGACATTTATTCCTGTTCACACCACTTCTGATTACATTACAATTTATGACTTATTTTTACACAGTTTCTTGCACAATACTATGTTATGATCTCAAAACACTCTTACCATATGCATGATTTGTAAACTAATACATTTTGACGTCTGTGTCACATAACCAGCTCCATATGTATGCCTTTTCTGATGTAGTAAACTTGCTCAGTAGCTCACCTGGTACGGCACTGCACTTTTGATGTGGAGCGATTGAGCACAAGTCCTATGAGTCACAACACTCGATAAAAGAGCTTAAAGACTTGTAGAAGCAAGCTAAAATGGCTAAAATTGCTTCAGCAAATGTGTTTTTAATCTCACGTTTATTTTGTTAACATTATCAGTTAGGTTTATTGTATGTGATATGTTATTTTTCAAACGGATAGAGCATGAACCTTTCACAATTCATTCCTGAACTACTGCACGCAATACGTACAACAAACATAATAAAACATTGCCAGATTTAAGTTCATCTGTTTCAGACAAAACTTAACACACTTTTCATGCCCCTCACTGGACATTTCACTTTGAAAGCACCAATGAAACGTGCAAGAAGCAACTCAATATCCCTTTGCAGAAATCAACGAATGAGGGAAAAATTAGACATGATGACAAGGTCAAAACTGTCTCATGAAAATGGTTATTGCTCACTTTTGAGTATTTTTGGCCAGTAATTAATTATAGTAATTTGTATCCTGGTAATTAAACACCAGATGGTCAGCTTGTCTAGACTGTTTGATCAAGTGAGAAATGCTTTAAATGTCAACTAGAAGAGATTTGTGTTTCTACATGTTCTCTCACCAAAACAAACACACATACATTGGCTGCACAAAAAACTACTGATTTAAACAGCATCTTAAAAATGAGGGCAACTTCAAACAGACAAGAAGAGAGAGAAAGGGGGTGGATGGGTGAAGATCCAAAAATGCTGACCATATGCTCGCAGGGAGAGAGGGGCAAACAGATAATGTGTGCGTTACACTATACACGACTTCCCTGCTAAGCGCACGTGGACGTGAAAACAAGCACACATGTGCTAACATACACCCGTATGCGTGCACACAGCGCACACCTGTTTCTGTTAACGCAGGCAATCACCCGTATGACAGGTTTCGGCCATCTTGTTAAATAATGCATGGAATTTTTCTTTCAACTTGTCAACGCAGGGGGAAAAAGTATCTCTCACTGTCTCTCTCTTCTCTTCTGATGTCATCCTTGATGTTGATTTTCCTTGACTGCATTCCATCTTTCTGATGAAGGCCGTTTTTTTCTTCTCTCCTAAATTCTGCTTGTCCACAGCTGTTCTCACTAGGAACGCTGTGCTCTCTTCCTCCTAAACTCTTGTGAGAATGGCCTTTGAAGTCTACGTTATCTGTGTTAGTTTCAGCCACATTTAGTATATGGCTGCTGTGATTGAAGACAAGTCCTGATTAGTGCAAAAACTAAAAGAAGTGCAATATTCCTCATACACACATGCACACGCACACACACACACACACACACACACACAAACATTCAGAAAATTGAGGTAAGATTTTTTTTTTAAAGAAATGTATATTTTTATAAATCAAGAATGCATTAATATGATCAAAAGTGACAGTAAATAATTGTATAATGTTCGTTATCTATTTCAAATAAATGGCTATTTAACTGTCTATTCATCAGAGAATCCTGAAAAAAATATACATAACAGTTTCCACAATATATTACGCAGCACAACTGTTTTCAATGTTGATAATTATAAGAAATGTAGCAGCAAATGTAGAAAAAAGCAGCAAATCAGCATATTAGAATGATTTCTGAAGGATCAGACAATATTTTGCCATTTTGAAACTGCTACTTTGCTGATTCGCAGTTGTGTGTTTTTCCACCTTTAAAATCTCAGTCTCATTTGCTATCATAATATTGTATTATACCATGTCAGATGGGTGAGAAATAAATATAAATTTAAATATCAATACAAATAAATATAAATATAGAGGCAAAATAATAAATATTAAATATATAACAAAATAATAAGTTAAATCAGAGAAGCCACTAAAGGCATATCAGTTGCACGCTTTTGAAATAGTTTGCATCATCCACAAATGATGCATCCAGTTATGCACACAAATATTGTGCATATATAACATTATCCATTTATACATCTTCTCATTTTGCTTTGCTTGTATGCACACACACAAACACATGCATCCCTGCACCAAATGTCTTGTTTCGTCTCTAAGGCTGGTGTACGATTAACTATTCTCCTGTCTGTTGTTGGTCTTCTCTAAATGCACAGTCAGGCAGCAGTCATTAATGTCACCATTAGTCTCTGTAAACCAAGCACAACCCTGCAACATGGGCCCCCTGCGCGAGCTCTGCGATGGGGCTCATCTCACCCAAAAGGCCCAGGTTACTATTGCAAAGCCATCTGTCTGGTACATCTACAGATTGCACTTTAAACAAGCTGCCTTAAAGGAACACAAACACACATTAACAAACAAATCGTGAAAAAAACAAGCCCTACCTGTACCTGTATTAGAGTTGAACTCATCTGAATCGAATTCTGAGCCATTGTGGGTATTGTGTAGATTCATCATCATCATCTTCATCTTCTGTATCTTCAAAGCTTCAGCCATCGCAGCTGTTGTTAGACCTGCAACACATTCAAGTACAATATCACAAACAACTGTGTACACACCCACAACACTCCACTGATATCTCACCTGATTATCTTACACAGCAATGAGGTAATCAAATGGAGACGCTTCTGCTTCACGTGAGAATAAACTCATGTGTCTCCTCAACAATTTTATTAAAGATGTCAACAATCTCAAACAGAGCTCAAATTTGCCAAGATATTAAGAATTGTTTCTTGAGCACCGAATCAGCATATTAGAATGATTTCCGAAGGATCCTGTGACACTTGAATACCTTAAAATACTGGTTTCAGGCTGCTAAGAGATGTGCTATTTATGAAGCGCATTAGCCTAAAAGTTACAGCAATAAATTCCTTAGTTGACAGTAAATGGATGTTGTCATCAGCAGCAGGGTTTAGTCAGAGCAACTGGAGGGTCACAGTGAGATAAGGGACCTGAATTAGCTCTGTTAGCTGGACTGCATTATTTATATAAGCATATCATGGAAGTCGTCCAAGAGATAGCCATCTGCCAATCAAATCACTTTAAACTCCTCCCACTACCAGCACAAACTAGGCAAAGAGCTCTGGCCTTGGTTTCCCTTGGATACTGTCAAAAATGAAAAAATAAATAAATAAAGTATTGATTACTGACAGACGGTCAATTCTCTGGACTAGTGATTGATGTTAAAATTGTTGCCTCTCTCATTATAATTCACAACATAATATAATTCACAACACTATAACTCTAAAGATGTCCATTGTGCGTGTGATGGCGTGTGTGTGTCTGTATGTTTTTGCATACGTGTTTGGGTGAGCGTGTGTATTGCATTTGACAAGGTCACGATTTTCCCCCACATTGTGACAAAGAAGAAGAAAACTGCAGGTGAGGCTGACTGCTGATAAGGAGAAAAACAATGTACCAACAACACACACACACACACACACACACACACACACACACACACACACAAGTAAAGAGCAGCATATTCCCCCAGGAGAGCATTGGCTGCTTGGCTAATCATGACTTTAACATCTCTATGTAAATGCTGACTGTCTACATCTAGTATACAGCTGTTGCATGAGCTTCGCTGTGGACTCATGGGAAGAACAATCTTCAGAGACTTGAGTTGAGTTACGTAAGCTGTTTGACAAGAAGGAAAGCGTTCGTTCATGTGAAGGGAGATTGTCCTGAGGGGGGAACTCTATTCCTTGAGCTCTTACGGTATACCAGAAACAAAGTCACGGCCACACACAATGTGAGAATAGTTAAGATTATATGTACATTTATACAAAAATCATGCTTATTAAAAGCGGAGAAACTGAGCTGTTTGATGCAGCTCACCAGAATAGGAATAGTTAATCTAAAAAACATGTAATCACTCTCATATTGTCCGAAACTCATATTTATGATACAACTTAAAGCACCATAACTTAAGTCAGTCTTTTCCTTATATAAAGTTGTCAAATGATTTTGGAGGAGTACTTTATGGTACATTTAGTCATTTTTTGAGCATGGCAATAATGAAAAATCACTGGTCAATTCAGTTTTCTGGAAAAAGGCAGCTTGGAAATTCTGCTAAATATCTCCATTTGCATTCCACATTTAAGTTTGGAATGAAGAATTATCATTTTTAGGTGAAATATTCCAGGTACAGAGAAAATGCTTAGAAATATACACATACGTATATATCAATAAACACTTTGGGGTTTTATCAGCAACGTTTGGGGTCAGAAAGATTTCTTTTTTTCTGTAAAGAAATCAATACTTTATTCACCAAGGGTGCATTAAATCAGTTAAAAGTGACAATAAAAACATCTATAAAGTCGCAAAAGATTTCTATGTCAAATAAATTCTGATCAATGGTTCTGTTTCAACATTGATAATAGTAAGAAATGTTTATTGTGCAGCAAATCAGTATATTAGAATAATTTCTGAAGGATCATATGACACTGAAGACTGAGTAATAATGCTGAAAATATAGCTTTGCTATCATAGGAATAGATTATTATTAATAATAGATTATTATTAATTTTTAATAATATTTCACAATGTAAAATTTTTTGTCTGTAATTGTATCAATACCTGCAGCCACGATGAGCATAACACCCCCAAACTAATGAACGATATTGTATATATGAGAGTATTATTCTTTAAGGTATATTCTTCTGTGTGTGTATACACCATTATAGCCTATTATATGGAACTTAAATACTGTATCTCCTCTCCTCTCAGCTTTTTGGCACCACCCCCTGCTGTCTGTCATTGCCCTAAGTGACAAACAATTCCAAAAATTCCAAAACATGCCAACATTTGCTGCAGTTGTAGATTAAAGAATATGAACATAAAATATTTGAATAAATGTCAAAGTCAAATTTTACTTAACTAATATTTAAAACTGAGAGAAACAATATCATGCCATTGTCACATACCTCAGATCCCATTATCTTGAGATATTACTTATGTTATGTACTTGTGTTTCTGATTTTCTTTTCTATGGAAGCAAACAAAATGTTAAGCAAAATACTGCTATATCTCCATTGTGTTTACTTGCCTGTTGTACAGTATATTTATTTCGGAATATAATCATTGATTCGCTCAAATGGTGCCACAATTTTTTTTTTTACCCAATTGTCATAGCCCCAAACAATGACTGAGCACTTGGCAAATCAAAGCAAACTGCCCTACTCTCATTCCTAACGAGTCCTGACATCTGGCACTTGACGATGCCAAGACACTAAGTGACATCTCCACGGTAACTGCTTAAACACGGCAGAATATCACTGCACAGTCTAGCGCATCCTCCATGGTGACCCCACGACTTTGTGTGTGTGTGTGTGAGAGAGAGAGAGGGAATACTTTTTGCAGTGCCTTTACTGTACACACATACATATATACATGCTGATAAGCATACAGTATATAGCAAAATCTTTTTGACCAGGTGTATAGATTTGAAGAATGGGTTAGGGTCTTAAAAATGTTGATCTCTCTAACATCATATTTATGGGAGTATTTTTTATTAATTTATTTATTTATTTATTGACCACAGTGAAACAGAGGTCATTATTTTATTGTGTACACTTATACTGGCCTCATCAAGCTAAGTAGTTCCACTCTAATATAGGGGAAAAAATTATATTCATATTTTATACACAAAGCTCAAGATTACTGAGTGTATATAATGTAATGTGTTGTTATTTTTCAATAAAACTAAAAATAGAACTATTAAAAATACTTTAGTTAATTGAAGTTAAATGAAGCTGAAATATAATATAAATATTAGATGATAAACTTGATAAGAAATTATATTTTACATTTTTAGATTTTAAATTCAAAACTAAAACTGAAATAAAAAATAATAATAAATTAAAGCTAACTGGAAAAAATATAATAAAATTAAAGCACATTACAAAATTACTGAAACTTAAATAAAACAAACTGAAGATAATAAAGTAAAATAAGTAGTAATATTTCTGATCTTTACCCCACAACAACAAATAATAAAATAAATAATATTTATCTTAATAATAGTGTGTGTGTATCATATGTAATGTAGTAGGGTAAACTTATTGTGATGGTTGAAAATTGAAAAATAACAAACAGAACTACTGATATAACCACATACATGATAGAGGGCTGATGTTTAAAAATAGGCCATAAAAACTGTCTATGATGGTTAACGCCCAGGTACTTTGGGTCTGTGGTGGGAAAATATGACTTCTTTAAAGTTAAGTTATAACTTTCAAGTGATAAAAAATGAAAAAAAAAAAAGTAAATTAAATTTTACAGACATTATCTTGCAAAAAAAAGGCACTGCTTCCTGAGACTTAGCCATAATTGTCTAAAAGGGGGAAGGACATGTGCCCTTCCAGGTAAAATGATTGCTTCGCCCCTGACTCTGGCAGAAATAAGACATTTCTTGGGGCAGATTTCAGTAAATTTTCAGCATCCACCCTTCCCAATGTGATACAGTAGAGTTGAGAAGCAAGGACGGGGGATGTGAGGCTTCTGGCCAGTGAGAGGAAGAGGGAAATAGAGAGGGATGAACAGATGGATGAGTGATGCCGCTGGGGTGTGTCATTCATCACTGTCACCCGTAAAGGAGGTGCATGAAAGATGACCGAACTGAGCGGCAGAAAGGGAGAGAGAATGAAAGATGAGCAGAAGGACAACAGAGGAGGGAGTGATTTAAGCATACACTTTTCATATGTGTTGAAGGAGGCTGTGAATGAGTAAATTGAGGCTCATCTAAATTTACAGCGCACTGAACGTGGTGAAAAACGAGACGGGTGTGTGTACGGTTGGGTTTACCTGTGGGTGACAGCAGGGCTGGAGACAGAAAGCTGTTTGCTCTTTGGTGGAGGATTCTGGGGCTTTCTTGCACACCGGCCCTATAGGAACGCTTCGGTGGGCGGCCTGGACGAGAGCTGTGAAGGGTGTAAACACATTAGCATTGTGCCTATCATTAAGGACAACAGAGACAGACAATGGAGAGGATTTAGAGGACTGTAGAAAAATTAACACATTTAAAGTGAATAAAAAACATATTTTTCTATTTAATATGCAAAATAAACAAACAAACAAAAAAACTTAGTAATAACACTTAAAAAAATTGCAATAGAAAAAATATTAATGAAAAAAGTAAGACTTTTAAATGAAATTACAGCTACAAGTTTGACAGGGAACAGATTTACAACTAAAATTTTCTAGCATGCCAAAAATTACAATTAAATCCCTGATAACGGTTCTGCATTAAATTGAGAAATCTTCCAAGCAAATATTTCACCCAATTTTCTTCTCAATTCACAGCATGATTACTGATATAAAACAGGCAACATTAAAAAAATATACACAACCACAGATCAAAAACATAGTAAAAACAGTAATATTGTGAAATATTATTACAATTCAAATAAATGTTTTCTATTTTAATATGTTTTAAAATGTAATTTATTCCTGTGATGGCAAAGCTGAATTTTCAGCATCATTACTCCAGGTCTTCAGTGTCACATGATCCTTCAGACATCATTCTTAAATGCTGATTTGCTGCTCAAGAAACTGTTGAGGAAAGGAGTTTTTTTTTTTGCAGGATTCTTTAGTGAATAGAAAGTTCAAATGAACTGCATTTATTTAAAATAGAAGCACTGTGAAACATCATATACAGTGGTGTGAAAAAGTGTTGGCCCCCTTCCTGATTTCTTATTTTTTTGCATGTTTGTCACACTTTAATGTTTCAGATCATCAAACAAATTTAAATATTACACAAAGATAATGCAAGTAAATACAAAATGCAGTTTTTAAATGATGATTTCATTTATTAAGGGAAAAAAGCTGTCCAAACCTACATGGCCCTACGTGAAAAATGTATTGCCCCCTCCTGTTAAATCATGAAAGAACTGCAATTAACCACATTATTTTAGAAAGCTGAGTTAAATTTCACTAGCCACACCCAGGCCTGATTACTGCCAGACCTGTTGAATCAAGAAATCACTTAAATAGAACCTGTCTGATTAAAGTGAAGCATGCTTAAAGAGCAACACACCATGCCGTGATCTAAAGAAATTCAAGAACAGATGAGAATCAAAACAGTTGACATGTATCAGTCTGGAAAGGATTATAAAGCCATTTCTAAGGCTTTGGGACTCCAGCGAACCATGGTCAGAGCCATTATCCACAAATTGAGAAAACTTGGAACAATGGTGAACCTTTCCAGGAGTTGCCGGCCAACCAAAATTACTCCAAGAGCACAACGATGACTCATCCAAGAGGTCATAAAAGAACCCAGAACCACATCTAAAGAACTGCAAGCCTCATTTGCCTCAATTAAGGTCAGTGTTCATGATTCAACAATAAGAAAGAGACTGGGCAAAAACGGCATCCATGGGAGAGTTCCAAGGCAAAAGCCACTGCTGACCAAAAAGAACACAAAGGCTCGTCTCTCATTTGCCCAAAAATATCTTGATTATCCCCAAGACTTTTGGGCAAATATTCTGTGGACTGATGAGACAGAAGTTGAACTTTTTGGAAGGTGTGTGTCCCGTTACATCTGGCGTAAAACCAACACAGCAATTCATAAATATAGCATCATACCAACAGTCAAACATGGTGGTGGTAGTGTGATGATCTGGGGCTGCTTTGCAGCTTCAGGACCTGGACGACTTGCCATAATTGACGGAACCATGAATTCTGCACTCTATCAGAAAATCCTGAAGGAGAATATCCGGTCATCAGTTTGTGACCTCAAGCTCAAGCGCACTTGGGTTATGCAGCTGGACAATGATCCCAAACACACCAGCAAGTCCACCTCTGAATAGCTCAAGAAAACTAAATTAAGGTTTTGGAGTGGCCAAGTCAAAGTCCGGACTTAACTCCGATTGAGATGCTTAAACAGTCCATTCATGCTCGAAAACCCTCCAATGTGGCTGAGTTAAAACAATTCTGCAAAGAAGAGTGGGCCAAAATTCCTCCACAGCGATGTGAAAGACTCATTGCCAGTTATCGCAAACACTTGATTGCAGTTGTTGCTGCAAAGCGTGGCACAACCAGTTATTAGATTTAGGGGGCAATTACTTTTTCACGTAGGGCCAGGCAGGTTTGGACAGCTTTTTTCCCTTAATAAAATAAATAATCATTTAAAAACTGCATTTTGTATTTACTTGCATTATCTTTGTGTAATATTAAAATTTGTTTGATGATCTGAATCTTTTAAGTGTGACAAATATGCAAAAAATTTAAAAAAACAGGAAGGGGGCCAACACTTTTTTACACCACTGTATGTCTCTACTGTCACTTTTGATCAAACTAATGCATCCTTGCTAAAAAAAAATATTATACTGACCTCAAATTGTTGAACAGTAGTGTATATACACTTAACAAAAAATATATATCTAAAGTAAATATAGTTTCTAAGTTTTGGAACTGGAAAGGCTTTACAAAGGTCAAAACAAAAACAAAAACATTCTGAAGGTTTGGATGCAGACTGTTCAGCAAATGTCAAAAAAAGGGACTTTGTTGCTTTTCCCAATAGCTCTTCTCTTGCTCTTACATTGCACATATTTCCAAAATGTATTTTGTATTTTTATTGTAAATACATTTTCATGTATTTATGCCCATCTCTGCTGACAGGGCATGCAGATCACCCACTTGCTTCTCACACACTAACATGAGCTGATGAGCAGTAGCTCTGTCTTAAATGAGAGCACTTTCAAGACACTCGACTTGAGCTGGTTCAAAGGGTGGCCAGAAAGTGCACTGAGCACTAACGTGTAATGATTGGACAGAGCAGACACACAATTATTTGTTATATTTAACAAATAATCTTTAAAACCCACTCTTTGAGTTCCATGAACCATCCCCCGAAAGTGCAACTATCACTCCAAGAGGGCTCAGTTACCAGGGCTACCATCTGATAAGACTGTTTTACTGCTCGAAAGTATGTGGAAAGATGCTATGTGCAATAGAACAGACCCTGCGAAAGACAGACACAGGCCCACAGGATGGACCTTTCCAACACATAAATTCATATACCTTTCAAAGAATAAACATACATATTCCAGAACATGGTGTCTACTATTCACTTGAGACATGTACAATCATGTATCCTATGCAATCATATAATACAATATATGTTTATAGTGTTTTGCCTATATATTAAACCTTGAATTAATGTTTTTGTATTACTTAATTAACCAATATCACACATATGCCGTGCTTGGTATCTATACGCTCCAAATTACGTTTCCTATTTCTTAATTTACATTAAATTTTGCTAACTCTGTGATGCATTAGTATTATAAGAATCTTGAAGATTCTTCTCTTGAACAGCCAATCCAGTTTCATTTGCAAAACACCCTGCTAGAAGACAAAGGATCGTAAAATTTCCCTCCAAAGTTACCATTCCTCATTGGCTCACTCAAATCCTGAGGGTGTGACATCTTCAGGCTTAAAGATCATTGATCACAAGATCAGGTGCGTTTTTAGATTCTGAGAAGATGAAGATGCTGAGCTAGAAGACACCTAAATTTGTGACAGGCTGCGGCCTTATCTTTCCATTCAACAAAGATCCTCAGACTTCAGCTGGCTCTCTCTCATCAAGACAACATCAATCAAGATCAACTGGAGCCTCAACAAACTGCATCAGGACACTTTTATTCAATGGGCAAGACATGCAAGTATCAAACTTAGTCTCATTGTTTGATCCATTAAGTATCCCCACCCCTTTTAAAGAAGGGTGTGTTAGAACTAAGAAATGTATGGTTTGCTCAAGGGTGTTGATCTGCCGAATCCCAAACAATACTAAAACTTCTTGCATTCCTGTACTCTGCTTAAGCTCTCTTTCCATTGCTAAACTGTATGCATGTATGTGTGTGTGTTAGAATAGTTTAAGTGTTTACTGTAGTTAATAAAGTCTCATTTGTATCACACTCAATGTTGATTTGCTCATAACTGGAGTCCCTAATCATGCAGATTTTGGCTACATGCTCTGAGTAGTATTGTATAATAAAGGATGTTATTTCCCATACCCCAGATATAAACATTTCTTAGAATTAATAAACAATTCAGAACAGGTTTGTTGATTGTAATAATAATTCTATAAGCTGATCCAAATATTTATAATTAATCATTTATGATTAATCAGTTATGATTAATTATTAATATTTGCCTTCTGAGCTAATTTGCTACATATTTTGGTGGAGAATGCGGGCATGATTAAACAAAGGTTATGAGCTTAAACCACTGTCAACCTAAAACTGTGTGACTGATAATCCAGGTAAGAATAGGACATGACTTGCGATATGCAATTGACCTATCGGTAAGCCGCCTCCTTGAATGCAGATGAGCCAATGGCAGTTGAGTATCAGCTGCACAGGGACTGGAACTCGGACATCTTTAGGTTTCAGCGCTATAGAGAAACATTGGAAGATCTGAATCTTTAGTCGGTTTGATGGTGTTTATGCTACAAAAATGGCAAAATGATGAATCTGCGGTACTTGTAACACTGATTCATCATTTTGCCATTTTTGTAGCATAAACACCATCAAACCGACTAAAGATTCAGATCTTCCAATGCTTCTCTATAATTTATTTTATTTACATTTCCTAAACCCAAATAGGAATGTAATGTTAGTTCTGTACATCATCGTCGGGTAAAATAGCATTATAATCTCCTTATAGTAGAGAAAGCTGTTTACATGTAGGCTACACAGCGAAACGAGTAACAGTGAAGATGTTGAATTAAACGTAAACATAGCTTTTGTGTCTTAATCAGCTTTTCCGCATTTACATACCGGTCCTGATAATCATAACTTCTACTTACCGTTTGTTCCATTTCTGCAAATATTTTTCTGTGAATGAATGACTTGCTCTACCTGTTGCTTTGGTCTTCATCAACACCTGCTTGCACCACATGCTGGTGAGCGACTAACAG